TTGAGAATCAATAATTGGTGGGCTATTTATTTATTAGTTGTAGGACATTCAGGACCATTTAGTTTTTAAATACAAAAAGCTACTTATTGATGCTAGAAATGTTATGTTAGTTTAAAAACGTAGAAATTTTCTACAATTTTATACTTAGACTTTTCAAATCCAGTTAGGCTGATAACTTTTTTATATTCAAACCAGTGCTTTGCGTACTACCGTTAAAACGTCGCCTGTGGTATTTCCAGAAAATACCTATTGTTTGATTCTGAAGCATTAAAAATTATAAGTAGTAATAAAATTATCTGAATAGTTATTGAAGCAGGAGATGTAATATTTTATTATTTATACACAGAGAAAAAAAATCTGGCAAAATTTTCCCAGTTACATTTCTAATATCAAAATACCAATTATTCTGGTTAATAAAGCCAAAATATACGGTATTTAAACCATTCATTTGGAAATTGTTTCCTTCATATGATAATGCTTTACTTTAAATTCTGGTTTTCAAAATTATAGTTCTTATTACCACGTATTTAGTGAAAAATACAAAATTGAAAATTAAATTTAAGTAAATAAATGGTTTTTATGTCACAGGGTATGGTATTATAAAAAAGTGACAATATTTTACCGCATTTACCAAATGTTTTCATATATTATAAAATTACATTTTACTGATAATTTTAGCAAAATCATTAACAAAGCGTATAGGTAAAAACTACTGAGCTTTGTGGTGCTTCCATAAAGCTAGAAAAATGGAAAATTTTACAATACTCTCCACAACAACAATTTAATGTTTCATTACAGAGTAATATTTAAAATTTGAATGATCAATATTTTTAATCAATATTTTTTTGATTGAACAATATCATAAAATCCAATTTCAAATAATTAAATGAAACTTAGAATACATTTATTGAACTTCCACTTATTGTACACAGAAAAAAAATTCTGGTCAAATTACCGTACTTTATGCGAAAGATATTTCTGGTAAAAAAATAATTCTGGTATTAAAACCGAAATATATGGTACTATTTAAAATTTTCATATGGTAACGGTTTCCGTTCACGTGGTAACTGTTAACGGGAAATTCTGGTATTCAAAATCGTAATTCCTATTAATAGGGGATAGGAAAGAACACAAAACTGAAAATAAATTTTACCGGATAAATGATTTTTATACCATGCTCTGAGGTATCAAGGTAAAATTAACAAATTTTAACACGGATTATTAAGCAATATTTTATTATAAATTTTGTCAAAATCATTACCAAAGCGCTTTGGTAAAAATATCGTGATTTTTAGTGTTTCCATAGAGCCAGAAACACTGTAAATTTTATCATATTTTGGTAGTTTTGATCATATTTTTTTTCTCTCAGGGTGTCATTTCTATTCATGAAAGATAACATTTAAGAATTTTGACTTAAATTAAAGTTTTGCTATTTTTTTTAATTATTTTTCAAAGATATAAAATAATTTCTAAAAAAAAAGCGTGTTTTTAATATGAGTCAATAAGATAAGGCAATTTGTAAAGATTATAAGAAAACATTTTTCCCAACAAGCTCACTTTATTGTGTCACAGCAGAGTAATATTTGTTTTAAATATAACAGTTTCTTAATTCTTCCCCTTTTTTCATAAGAAATAAAATACTGTGGATAAAACGTTGTAATAAAAAGAATTAATCGAGTAAAATAATATATTATGTAATGAATCAATTCATTCCTATTTATTCATTCTGTACCCTGATGCCATTCCTATTCATAATAGATAACATTCTAGAATTTTAAGCTAGAGAAAACTGTGAGAAGTTTTTTATTTTTTTTTCCTGGTGGAATAAATCACTATGCATAAAACGTACTAATAATAAGAGACAAAAGAGTAAGATTATATATAATGTAATGAAATCATTCTTGCTAGAACAATGCATACATTTTTATTTGCAGATCAATATTTAAATTTCCGTTTAAAAATAGAATTCAATTAATTTGTTTATTTTTTTAATGAATTAAAAATCGTTTTCAAATTATTAGTTGAAACTTAAAATCCATTAATTCATTCTCTCCCCTTTTGTCATTCCCATTCATAATAGATAACATTCTAGAATTCGATTCTCAACCCAATCACACCCCATCAGGTATTCAAGTCATTTTATTGGACGTCATAAATTTAAACTCATCGGTTATCGAATAAAATTCATTCATCTGCCCATCGAAGATGCTGTTTCTACTATTAAGAGTGGAGGGCAAAAAATCGCAATCACAACCATCCCACCCTCCCGACAGATGGCGCTGATCCTCATGAATCGAAGCCGGTAGTAACACAACCAAGTGAGAGAAGCTTTGGAATAGGGGAAATAGCATCATCCCATCTCCACTGCATCTCGTGCCTCTACTCTAAAACATAGGCCGNCGGGGGACCATTTTGTGATGGTTACACAGTAGATTTTTTAAAAGTCAATTTATTTAGCTAAAATAATAAACTTTTGTTTATAGTTTATTAAACATAAATATAGAAAACAATTCTTAAAAAAGGTATTACTAATCAATGCAAAAATATTTTAGCTTAATTTTAAACATTAAAGAATATTTCTTCTTTCATTTCAATTAGAAAAATAATTTGTATAAAAACTACTAATAATGTGAGTCATTAGTGTAAAACGATTAAGTGATGTTTTAATAAAATCACTTTCTCCTGCAACAATTTATGTTTAGTCGCAGTTTAAAAATACTTCAGTTAAATTTATTGATCATTATTTTTGCGAATTAAAAAATTTTTTTCAGTTATTAATTGAATCCTAAAGTGCATTATTTGATTTCTCTTTGACTGTTATTTCTATTCACAATGGATAACATTTAAAAATTTTAAGTTGAGTGATATTTGAGCATATTTAATTAATTATTTTTCTGAACAACAAAATAATTTACATAAAACGAGCGAATAGTATAGGGCAATTTATAAATGTTTTATACAAGAACAGTTTAGTGTTTCGTTATAGACCAATATTTAATATTTTCCTTTAAAAGCCAGTTAGTAGTTTTAATTTGCTAAATCATTATTTTAATGACATAAAAATCAGCCCCAAATTATTAAATAAAACTTAAAATGCACTAATTCATTTTTCCTTACTGCCACTTCTAATCATACTAGATAATATTCAAGAAATTTATTTTAAGCTAAACGTAAGCATATTTCTTTAATTATTTTTCAAAGAAATGAAATTATTTTGATAAAATATGCTTTTAATATGAACCAATTTTTAAATGCTTGAAAAATGATCTTGACCCACAAGAACAATTTAATGTTTCATTGCAGAGTAATAATTAAAACTTGAATGATCAATATTTTAATCATTTTTTTTTGACTGATCAATGTTACAAAATCCAATTTCAAATAATGAAACTTAGAATACATTTATTAATTTTCCACTTATTGTACACAGAAAAAAAAATTCTGGTCAAATTACCGTACTTCATGGGAAAGATATTTCTGATAAAAAAATAATTCTGGTAGAAAAACCAAAATATATGGTATTTAAAATATTCATATGGTAACGGTTTCCGTTCACGTGGTAACTGTTAACAGGAAATTCTGGTATTCAAAATAATAATCCCTATTAACAGGCGGTAGGAAAGAATACAAAACTGAAAATAAAATTTACCGGATAAATGGTTTTTATACCATGCTCTGAGGTATCAAGGTAAAATTAACAAATTTCAATACAGATTATAGAACAATATTTCATTCTCAATTTTACCAAAATCATTACCAAAGCGCATCGGTAAAAACTACCGCGCTTTTTGGTATTCTCATAAAGCCAGAAGCACGGTAAATTTTATCATATTTTGGTAGTTTTGATCATACTTTCTCACTCAGGGTGTCATATTCAAAAAAGATGACTTTAAAAATTTTGCATAAATTAAACTTTTGCGTATTTCTTTAATTATTTTTCAAAGATATAAAATAATTTCTAAAAAAAGCGTGTTTTTAATATGAGTCAATAAGATAAGGCAATTTGTAAAGATTATAAGAAAACATTTTTCCCAACAAGCTCACTTTATTGTGTCACAGCAGAGTAATATTTGTTTTAAATATAACAGTTTCTTAATTCTTCTCCTTTTTTTCATTAAAAATAAAATACTGTGGATAAAACGTTGTAATAAAAAGAATTAATTGAGTAAAATAATATATTATGTAATGAATTAATTCATTCCTATTTATTCATTCTGTACCCTGATGCCATTCCTATTCATAATAGAAAATATTCTAGAATTTTAAGTTAAATAAAACTGTGAGAAGTTTTTTTTTCTTGTAGAATAAATCACTATGTATAAAACGTACAAATAATAAGAGACAAAAGAGTAAGACTATATATAATGTAATGAAATCATTCTTGCTAGAACAATGCATGCATATTTATTTGCAGATCAATATTTAAATTTCCGTTTAAAAATAGAATTCAATTAATTTGTTTATTTTTTTAATGAATTAAAAATCGTTTTCAAATTATTAGTTGAAACTTAAAATCCATTAATTCATTCTCTCCCCTTTTGTCATTCCCATTCATAATAGATAACATTCTAGAATTCGATTCTCAACCCAATCACACCCCATCAGGTATTCAAGTCATTTTATTGGACGTCATAAATTTAAACTCATCGGTTATCGAATAAAATTCATTCATCTGCCCATCGAAGATGCTGTTTCTACTATTAAGAGTGGAGGGCAAAAAATCGTAATCACAACCATCCCACCCTCCCGACAGATGGCGCTGATCCTCATGAATCGAAGCCGGTAGTAACACAACCAAGTGAGAGAAGCTTTGGAATAGGGGAAATAGCATCATCCCATCTCCACTGCATCTCGTGCCTCTACTCTAAAACATAGGCCGCATCCATTTCTACCCAAGACCTAAATGCCGCGCTTATAGGCGTGATCGTAAATCAACCCTGGTAAGCATAAACATGGACAATTCCCATTGTTAATATTTTATTTTCCCCCACACTTAGCTTACTTTCGTTTTCTTCTTTTATTTCGATGGACCAGAGGTTTGTATTGTTAATAATTTATTTTCTTTTGGGAACAATGAGTATAGAGAAAAGCGTTGGAAGAAAGTTTGTACGCTTTTGCTTGCTCTTTAGGGATGAGTGTGTTACCATAGCTACCCATCCATGCGGGGGAGTATGGTTGAGAATCAATAATTGTGACATTTAAATGATGAAGTTTTTTTTTATTCATAAAATATTATTTATTTGTAGTTATAATTGATGACAACAACCAATTTTTGAATTTCAAGATGATGACTTTATAAGGAGAATCACAATAGAAAGAGTGATTTGAAATGTTCTGATTGACAATAGAGAATGTCATTCTTTTAGACAATAAAGTAAAATGCTAAATACTAATTGACAAAATAAACAATGAATTGCTATTTGTGTTTTAGAAAAATTTATAACCTCACAATTAAATTTTTTTTAAAATCAGAATTTTGAATATTTTAATGTTAAAGTTTTTTTTTTCAAAGAAGAAAAGAAAAATGAAAATCTAGATTCGTATATTTGATATCTTTTGATACATTATATAAATTTTATTTTGGTCATACTATATGTTGAGTTTTACATTAACTATAACAAAGATATAATATTTAGAAATTGACAATAGAAATCAATTAGTAGCACACCTCAAAGCAAACCTTTTGTGTCCCAAAAAATTACAGTTAAAAAGGGAATTTTTAATGATTGGAACAGAATTACTTTGATTGAATTATATTTCAAAATTAGTTTTAAATAAAATTACAGGAGAGCAATTTAAGAAATCGAAACGCTCATACTATAAAAATTTTGAACTATACATTATATTATAATACATTATATACAGTATATTATATTATATTATATTATATTAGTTTATATTATATTATATTATATTGTAAATTAATTATATCATAAACTAATTTGCAAAAGTGCTTGCGATTNAATGTGAGTATTTATGCCCTTGGTCTCATTATTTCACGAAGTTACTCTTCTTAAATATTGAGAAAAAAATTATTTATTATAGCGTTAATAAGATGATGAATGAAATAGTATTCTCTCATTTTTAAAATATTATATCATCGAACAATAAAATTATTCCTCAAAAATATACCTTAGTTTTCTGTTAATTCAAAGAAAACTATTTTTTATTGAAATTTTTATTAGTCATATTAAAATTAAGTTGTTATTATATTGTTATAATTTTTTATTATAGACGTATAGATACTATTAATTTATAGTTAATATTAAAGTTTTCAGAGCCTTATTTATCATTTTGAAATTAAAAATTCTTATTTTTATTTATTTTCTTCTTTTATGCTACGCATACGTTTATGGGCTTTTAATGTTTGTTTAATTTATTGATTTTTTATGATTTTCAAAAGTTCATATAAGTTTTATAAGAATTAATTGAATATCTTAGTGTAAACGCCTTTAAATTAAAAAAAAAACTCTTTTTTTTCTTCTTCTTTTTATTTCACCACAGAAAATGAACCTGATTTTCAAGTGTTTGTTAAATTTACTGCAATATTTTATTTTAATTATAAGTTTATATAAGGGTGTTTTGAGAAAATTTAAATTAACATCATAGTGTAAACGTCCTAAAATTTAAAATTGTTTATTTTTTTATCTTACCTGGGCACCTATCTTTTTCTTTTTATCTTACCTGGGGTTTATTCCAATGATCGTTTTTATTTTAGTCATATAAGCATATAAGGATTTTTTGCGACAAATCCCTCAGTTAAGAAGCATTGTTTCTTTTAATAGTAAAGTAAAATATGATTTTACAAATAACAGAATATTATAGTATATTACTTTCATGGAGATAAAGATAATTTTAATTATTCTTGTAATTTTATTCATTCCTTATTTTGTCTAGTTTTTATCCTGGCATAATTTAACTTATACATAATTTAACTTGTAGAAAAGCAAAACGTCAATTTGGATAAAAATTTCTATTCTGGCAACCTATAACCTTGTGATGACTTGTAGATAAATGATTTTTAATTTTCGGCAAATCCAATTAAAAATCTTCAAAAAAATAAAAAAATTTTATGTGGTGTTCACGAAAATACAGAAATAAATAATATGCAAACGAATTCGAACGCACCTTACTTAAGGATTTGATTTCCAAGTTCAAATCTTCAAAACTCATGCCAGCAGATGATTATCGATTACGTAGAGCTATAATCCTATTTATCTCCCATTTTCACCAAGGATACGGAAATTTTAATGCTAGTTAAGTGAAGGTTCAGGAATCTCTCACCCTCTAATAATTGAAAAATTTTCTGGAATCGGCCTTTTCTGATTAAATATATCGAACGTACTTATCTATATATATGTACGTTTACTACCTATTTAAATACTTCCTCTTCTAATTTTTCGCAAATGCAATGGAAAATGCAGTTTTTTTTTAGTTATTTTTGTTTTTTTTATGCTTTCATAGTTTTAAAAATATTAAAAAGACTATTTAGGTTCCCAGATTACAATTAATTAACTCCTTCTAAATTTGAAATTGGAATTAAAAACTTCTTTTTGAATCAGTTTAGTCCAGTTAAACACTTCAGTAATGCTTTGTTAAAGTAATTTGCTTTCAAGACTTTAGTTTTCAAGGAGTTAATGAAAATGACATTTGAAATGGACATAAAAAAATAAAAAATTTTGAGATGTTCATTTTTGAATAATTTCAATAATATTTATCAATAATTTAATCTCAAGATTGGATTATAATTAATTAACTTTCTTGATTGCAAGAAATGGTAATTAAAGAAATTTCCGGATTTGGTTTAGTTTAGCTGCATCTAAAACATTAAAACATCTAATACCCTAAAATAATTTACTTTCTAGAGTCAACCTAGAGTCTAGAGTTTTACTAGAGTCAATGAATAAAAATACATTTTTCGCTTTGTTTATTTTTTAAAAATTTTGAAATAATATTTATTTAATATTACCTCTCAAGATTAAAATAACTTTTTTTCATTTGGAAAAAATTGGATTCAGAGAAAAATTTTGAAATAATATTTATTTATTATGATCTCTCAAGATTAAAATCACTTTTTTCATTTGGAAAAAATTGGATTCAAAGAAAAATTTTGAAATAATATTTATTTATTATTACCTCTCAAGATTAAAATCACTTTTTTCATTTGGAAAAAATTGGATTCAGAGAAAAAATTTGAAATAATGTTTATTTATTATTACCTCTCAAGAATAAAATCACTTTTTTCATTTGGAAAAAATTGGATTCAGAGAAAAATTTTGAAATAATATTTATTAATTATTTCCTCTCAAAATTAAAATCACTTTTTTCATTTGGAAAAAATAGAATTCAGAGAAAAATTTTGAAATAATATTTATTTATTATTACCTCACAAGATTAAAATCACTTTCTTAATTTAGAATAAATGGGATTCAGAGAAAAATTTTTGAGTTAACTTAGCTCGCTAAACGCATCAAACTTGCACCATCTATTAAAATAATTTATCTTCTTTTGTTTTCGGAGAATAAAAAAAGAGACAAATTGTTTGCTAAATATTTTCTTTTAAAAATGTTTCGATAATATTTATCTATAATTTAATCTCAAGATTATAATCAATTCACTTTTTTCATTTGAAAAACATGGAATTTCATTTGAAACATGGATTTTTAAATTAGCTCACCATTCCTGGACAAATTAAACTGGCACTATCTATTAAAATAATTTACTTTCTAAGAGTTTGTTGAAAAATAATATGAAACAAAGAAATTTTTGAACTAATTTATTTTAGTGCTAAACGCATCGTATCTGTATTATCTATTAAAATGATTAAAATGACTTTTTTTCACATTATTATCATTTATCACTATTCAAAAAATTTATATTTGCCGCTGTAATTTTTGTATAGTTTGAAAATAAATATATAAAAATAAATATATAATTTGAAAATAAACTTATCTCAACCTTATAGTCAATTAAATGATTTAATAGAAAAAAAAGAGAAAACAATATCTTCTAAAGATAGAATGGGAGAAGGAGAAAAAGAGAAAGATGTTAAAGCTCTTGCTTCAATTGATCTTTGCACTTTCTCAATTGTGTTACTTAAATAAGATAAAAAGGATAAGTGATTTTTTGAATGACGCAATCTACTTCACGAAACAAAGCGTTTATTCTGCTCTCTTTTATTAAACGAAAGGAATTACTTTATTAACTCAAAATAGTACAACTTTTTAAAAGAAGTTTGTAATAATTTTTTTAAAACATATATCTGTGTAACATTTTTAATTTTAAATAGTGTAATAGATTAAATCAGTTTAAATTGAGATACTTTAGTTTAAGACTGTTTTTCAAAGGCTCTGTACTTTCATGATGTTTGCTTGCAACAGTTACTCATGACTGTTTAGCTTATCTTTAACCTCTATATTTATTTTGACCTCTATATCGTCCTCTATATTTATTCTGAAAATCGTGGAAAACTTCAAATGAAGAAAAAGCTAAATTTTAGAAACTTTACTTCAGTGCTGCAATATTTAGGATTTAAAAATTTATATCCCAGATAATTCATTACATCCAGATGGCATATACAGTTTAAAATTATAGCTTTGCTTCAAGTGAAAGGCACTTAAACTGTTGCTTTTTTTATTTTCCTTAACGAAGCAGATTCTAAAAACCATCTTTAATAATTGATTATAATAAGTGATAATAAGTGATTATAATAAGTGATAAGTGTAATCTTATTGATATAATATCTGACAATAAGATACTTAAAAAATATTTAATACTATACGATTAAAGAACACACAAGTGCATTATTGTACGCGAAAAACAGCTACAAAATACAAATGTAAATTACAAGTAACCAGAAAAATGCAGAATTAAAAGGTTTAAATCATATTGCAATTTACTTAAAGTGCTAAAAAAAATTGTATTGGTTTTTTTGACAATC